ATCGTGAAACATAATTTGTTTTATGACCATTTTTTATGATAAAGTCCATGAAAATGTCCCGCTAGTTGCTTATCTAGTACTCTGACTTTTTTTCTGCACTGGTGGCTCAGAATCGTGTATAATCTCCTCCGTAACCCGAATGTGAACAAACGATTACCAACCTCATACGCCGCGAAAATAAATCTGAAATTGATTTCATATTTACCGGGTTTCTTAAATACCAATCCCTAAACATTTAAGCGTTCTATTTTCGATACGTTTAAATGACAGAAGAATCTGTATGTAAGTTCCCATCCTCGATACTCCAGTGGTTACGATCACTTTCGTTCTGCACCCCTGGAACATATCATGGCAAAATTGTGGGCACAAACGAAATAATTTCATTGGTTTAAGGAGAAAAAAAACACTTATCAATCACAAGCTGATAAGGTCCTTTTGAAGATTACAAAAGAGCGACACTCAACTTCAAAGACATTACAATATACCGCTATGTGACATCGCGTTTTGTTAGATGTACATTAGAGGATCAAACTAGTATTTTTTGTCTTGTCCACAAGGTGTCGCACATGGTACCGTCAGTTTTGTGGAAATGATCGTAACCCCGGGAGTATTGAGGATGGTAAGCGCCAGGGGAAAGGATAACATTCGTTAACGTACTGGACTCCGTAGCCTCGGGTGAATATAAGAGATGTGAAGATCGATCTGTACCACGAACGGGTTGTCTTTAACACCTGGGGTCACTCATTATGTGCTGTGCTGTTGTGGTTGTGTACTTGAACAAGACGATTCACTCCAAGTTGCTTTATAAAATATTTGACGGGCCTCCCGCATATGGTTCAGTGATGTAGCAACCAATTATCATACGGATATCATCGCATCAGATATACCCACCAAACAAACCAGTGCTATATGTACAACCTTGCAGATGACTGACTTGAAGCCGACATTCATTGAACCAGGAAACTTTTACATGTTACAGCAGAAATGAGAATCCCTGGAATGGAAGGGTAAAACTAACCAGCTTTGATCTCAAAGCTATTCTTGGAGTACATATACAGCTTACCTTTGTCGAAAGACTACGTGTTAGGTCGATGTTATACCTTCATTCTATCAAATTTATCTTCGGACTCCAATTTTTGTGGAAAAAACTACACACTTGGGTGACGATCATGAACATTCGAACATCTGTACAATGTACATTTTATATGGAAAATCTTAACATAACGGGGACATATGTTTTCTAATATATCTGATATTGGGACCAATCTGAATGATTTTTGGTCTGCTCAATGAATTGTTGGTCAGTTTCGAAGAATACTAGTTACATATTGCAACTAGATGTAAGATGTATGAAATAAAAAGAAGTGCGGTATATTGTGTTGTCTGAAAGTGTGATATTAAACAGTTTGATGTGGAGTGTTGTTTCGTTATATGATATTATATAGTGTTATTCTAAGTATTTTACGGCGATTTGATACGAAACAATGTTATATTAATTTTTGTCAGTCGATGGGATATTATACAGTCTGTGCAAAACATAGTGTGGTAGAAGGTTTTGATTGGTGGTGTGATATTAAACAGCATTAAGATGCGAAAATTAAAATAATCGACTGTGATATTAAACGGTGTGTTATAAAGTTGTGCCATATATTTACTGGTGTACTGCAGTTATAGAACGTTTCTTTCGAAAATTTCCCTCGTTATTTTCTAAACAGCCTGATTCATACGCAACATTTGAGAAATTTTAGGAGAAACGGATGATTTCAAAGAGAGAATTTTTTTTGTTGACAAAACTGGTAAGGAAGAAGGATATGAAACGTTAACCGATGAAATACAGGGCTACAATGAAAACCAGCGTTCCTAATGATCTATCTGATGTGGTTGGTGGGGCAATTCATTGTCATTACTAGTATGGACGAGGACATCTCCCTCGTCCATCATGATTTCAAACGTTGAATGTAGCATAAAACACAGATGAAAAATATCTCTGTTATTTTTCGAATCGATATTTTATATAGCAGCATATTTAATGTTTTACATCCATCACTGCTTCATGGTCCGGGTTTTCGATATTTCTGTTTGAGACTCTCAGTTTCTGGATTATCAAAAGACATCTTAAACAAGAAAAGACATGTTTTGCGATTTTGTCATTAACAAGTACAAAGCGTTACTCTGTCATTTTTTGTCATAATATTGACCTAGATTCGTTATTCCGTACACTTTGTGATTAGATGGGTATGGATTTCCTACAATATCTCACGCCTGTTATACTTACAGAGTTTCTTAAATGATCGAACAGGTGAAGAATTAAAATACAATATACATACTTATGTGGGCTAATATGTACATATAACCGACGTTAACGTATTTTCACTGACTACGTTGGGATAGTGTTGACGCAGTTTCTGTCACAACGGTCTTCCATTTTTTCGGAGTAGATATAAGTTTATAATATCTTTCATCTTGATCTACTTCTGTTAGTATTAGTCTGAGTCATGACAGTGCGTGACCTTTGTGAACTCGCGAAGTCCATAGTCTCGACGAGGTGACAGTTTTACACTTATACAATAAATAACAGCTTACAATGGTACTGTTATATATTCCAAACTATTCCCCCACACGCGCGAGTGCGGTACATTATAGGTACAAATACATACAATATAGGTGCGACATATCGATGTATATGTCCGTTATGTAGAATTATACCTGTATCATACCTGTAACTTATACATGCAGATTTCTAAGTACTTTATGCATGTACGTACCTGACGCATATTTCTTGCCAGGTAACGCTTACAATGGCAATGAAAGAGTACAAAAATCAATAGGTATTGTTAGATATAAAGTATATGTATGTCTTCGTTGAGTGTGTTGTACCTGTAATCGTCTGGGTTTGGGTCGAAGGGGGAAAGGGGGGAGGGGAGTGGATGGGAAGTATTTTTGGTCGAAAGGAACTATAAAGAGACACAACAATGGAAGATGTTCATTTCTTTGTTGTCATCACACAGACAAAAGTTCAATACAACAATGGGTCTGCTCTTCAATATCCAGATTTTCCCTGTACAGCAAGCGTCACCTACAACATTCTACACGATTTGTGTGATTTGTACTGGGGTAAAATTTACCTGTAGATCAACAGTTCTAACAGGTATTATAAGAGAAATCCTAACTTTAATTATTCTATTAATATATCATGTATGTGACACTGGGTATATCTTTTAGTGTACGCGCAAAGTCTAAGATGTATACAGAAATCAGATTTCATATACCGGTAGGTCATCCATGTAAGTAGTCGTGAGTTACCAGAAGGATGAGGGACGGAAATCGCCTCTTTAATTCCTTGTAATAAATCCTCACATTATTTCACATATAGATCCGCAAATTAACAACGCTGGAGTCATGTTCAATTATTTGAAGAACAAATCTGATGTAGTGAAGAGGTTCGTGTAACTTAAAATTCGCATTTCATTAACCGATAGTGACATAAATACAAATTTGGTAAGTCACTGGTGAATAATCACTTTAAATGCTGTGAGAAAATAAAATATCACTGGTTTATTATGGTGAAGAATATAAATCAAAACTTCAAATCCGTCGACATATCTAATATGTATTAGTCTCAATATGTTTAAAGGTGGCTGTTCAGATATTGATTTGACCCTAACATGTTTCGATTTCTAGAATGAGCTTATAAATCATCATTCAGATTTACTAATATTACATTTCGTTTGCTACATAACAACCATTGTAATCAACGTCTGTCAATAGCAACCAGTCGGATGAAATAAATCTTTCACACAGAGAGGAGGAGAGTGTCTTTTTTCTCTACACCGTATGATTCACGTAAGTCTTATTTATAAACATGTTATGTATGTATTTTGATTTCTAAATAAAACAAGCATGGTTAGCTTACACAACAACAAATCAAATATAAAAAACATAAAAAAAAAATTTACTACAAATTGTGTATAAAAAATTATTGTAAATATTAAATCGTTTAATGTCTGTTTTACTGAAAAAAAAAATTCCAGCAGGTTTTTTTTAGTAAATTAAGTAAATATTTTGTGAAAAATATTTGTTTGTATAAAGAAAGCTGACAAAATCGGATAGCAGTACCTGAGGAAATACAGTGTATGTGGTATAAGGGACATTTAAATTTCCATACAATTGTATACCTAACGCGTACGTGTATACCAGTAAGTAGACATACTGAACTGTGTATCGAAAACCAAACACCTTGTTTCAAAAAGTTTTATCAGCTTATCACAACCCACACAATCTACTTCATGACGATGTATTTTATGGATGGGGAAATAATTAAGGACTTTTTATTCATAAATTAAAAAGCTGAATGATAAAACGGATTTTAGAAATTCCTAGTTGTTTCTCGTTAATAGGGAAATACGTACAAATTATTTCACACGAAGCTAACAACACCTTACGCCATAATTCACTCGTTAGTAAGAAATTATCAAAAGGTATGTTTTAAAATTTAAAGTTTCTTTTGAATTTTAACACAAAAAACCTAATATTTTATTGGCGGTATGTTATTGACTTAAACAAGTCCAAACAAATGCCCGTGATTAAAAATGAATTAGTGTTGTTTCTGAAAACGCTTGGTAACTATATAAACAAATATTTCAAGTCGAAATATGAAACATTTTGAAACAGATATTTTTGAATGTAATGAGATGTTTTGTTTTAGGTGGGTCTGTTTTAACATGGGGAATATTATTAAGGTTTTCATCATACTAGATTACCAATATTGTTAGTACTGACTCGTTGATCAGAGAGGAAATTAAGGGTCTGAGGTAATATGTCGTAACGAGAAGAAAAAGAAACCACCAGCTGATGAAGATCTCATGTCAAAGGCATGTGTTACGCGCTCACTGATTGGATAACAGTAAATCACATGACGCTGCATGTTCGATATAGCACACACACACGAATATACACACGCTACAACCCCTTTAAGAGGTGTACGTCTCATAATGCTTGGTAAATAACACTACCGTGTACTGGAATGTAATACATGTACTTTTGTAATCCTCGACTTAGACAGTAAGGCAGTTAGACATATACCGATAGGATTATTAATTTCAAATTTCTGCGAGGTGTATTAGTTTCGCGTCCAGTGGTGTGTGTGTGTGCTGGCTAGCGGTATATAACAACACATGCTTTAGAGAGAGGTCGTCTTTTACTCGCTTCATCAACCTAACGGCCGTTACGGCAGGAGGACGCGTGTGATTTCACGGGGGTTGTTGATTTCTGAGTGAAACAAAACTACTGTTCAATTTCTTCAGTTTAGATGCATGATAACGAAACCATGTCGGACTCCGACCGCGATTTAGAATCAAATGAAAATCTGTTGAATGGGAAAAAGCCAAACAATTTAAATTTGGCAAGATCACCTGGTGAAAAGTGTTACACAGATATCAGGATTGTTCAAGATGAATGTGCTCGTTTAAAGAAGTATCTGTATGGATTATTTGTCGTGGTTGCTGCCGGAATTCTGATCTTGATCGTTATTATGGCAGTGTTATTTGTCAAGCTTAGCCATGATGTAGCACACCATACTCATCAACCGAAAGTTGGGGAAACCGTTTCAAAAATTCTCGAACGGGAGGAGTTGTGTATTCCGTGTGATAATGTACGACTTGGCCCCTCTGTCGAGGAGGATCGAATGTTGAATGAATTTACTCGGAAACATGAACCAGAGGGGGAGCAGTGCTGTGTTGAAACCCCAAAAGAGTTGCTCGCCATGTTGGAATTGGTAAGTACAGGACAAAAAGATAACAAGTTAACTTCTAATGTTAACATGTCACTGTAGACTTGTTATATAACGAAAAATTACATTTTTTATGAAAGAGAAAATTTGAAAATAATTAAGTTTAATTGTTTTATTTTAACATGAGACAGTGTATATATCCGCTGAGTACTTAGATCTTGTCTGATTCAGGAGTGACACATTGTTTTTAATTACCATTCCTTACAAACAGAACATATTCAGGTATTAAGTTACACAGATACAAGACAAGTGTTTATATACCGAAGTCAACACGGAGAATGTAAGCGCTTTGTGATTCCCACGTACATGATAGGTTAATCATTTCGACAATCCCAAGTCCATAAAAACGTGATGTACTGTGATCCCTGTACACCAACCCAAGGTTACTCTCACTCTCTAAACCCGAACCCCAGGACCGGTCTCCCCGTACTAGCTACGCCTTTCGCCAAGATTCTCCCACGATTAAAAAAAGACCACGGGGACCGAAACACATACTCAGGTTTTCAGGATAAAGAACGAAAGGAAAGACATACAGGAGGACCCCCGTCACCTCGCATGGGGATAATAAGTATATATATCGAGATTGAAGCCGGGTGTGGGGATGGACCTTGGCTTCGAGAATATCAACAGGGAAAATTCCTTCTTAAAATATGTTTTCCAAGGTCTGATATATACAGACCCCCACCCCCACTCAAAGCGCAAATCTACCTTCCCTCAAAATTATTCATATACACCCTCTTCCGAATTAACCAACGAGGTTAGATATTAGACGATAGAAAGTGTTTCCATCCCAAACTATTTCTTCGTTTATAGGATAAATGTTTACTTAGAACAAATTCACCATTTTCCTTCTTGCAAATTTCTATAGATATATACTTCAGGTTAATGAGAACATTATACAGTGGAGATTCTCGCTTCAGTCATATAATTAATCATGTATCGGATTTTTTTTTCTCGTCTTTGAAGCCGTGACACTCCGCGTAACGACTTTCTAACGAGCACGCTTTTATCGTGTATGGCATGAATATTGAATTATTGAGTAAATAAGAATGAAACAGATTGGAAAATCTTTGATTTCTGTGTATGAATGAAGTGATCGATTTGTCAGGTAGCTCAGTCATTCCTACAATACACACTAACCATTGAATTGTAACATAAATAGAATTCTGGCGATGAATACTTCGACCGTGATACTACTCTGGCGAGGGTGTTGATTTCAAACCGGCTGTAATTTACAGTGTATGTTTCAGGGTTTAGACATGTCCAGCGCAGGAAATATTGCTTATATCATCAACGTGCAACATTAAAGTTTACTTGAAAAATTTTCAGTAAAATTTCGTGAATTTACCTCTCTTGAAATTTAGAAAAAAAACCTCTTGACTGATAATCTTGTGTATACCTGCTGGCTGGTATATACCTGGTACACGTCGCTCCCACTAATGATACGTGTTATTTAATATATCTCCTACACTGCAGGACTCCGATTTCTAATTAATGTTACGTTAAAAATCAATTTAGCAATCTTTAAATATCCTTAATAGATATATTGAGGTATATTAAGGATCTCTTTATAACATCTCTTTTCAAGTCATAACTTGGAATCTTACGAGGGGTGTGTAATATCACCGATCTTTGTTATAAAAGGATATTCGATATAAATACAAGTGTCATTTAGATGGTCGCATATAAATGCAAATTTTCAACCCGCCTACAGGTCAAAGGTCGTTACGGATATAAAATATATCTTTTATTTCGTTTAAAAGTCAACGACAGATAAAGAAAAAAATAGCCTGTCCTATTTAACCCCACAGTAGTCAGGGAAGCCTGTTGGGGAAAATATCGACAGAAAATTTCATATAAAACCTGTTGCGTATAAATGTTACCACTTTTTTTCTGTTTCCATCTAAATGTATTGACCTATGGCGAATTCTAGAGTTTGCCCGAGTCGAGCTTTGTGATTGTATTAACACACATGTCCGTTTTCTTGCGTGCCGGCGAATCTGCCTTGGTACTCAAGATCTGGAAGATATCTTATGTATCACGTACAGGCACAAACAAGTATACCTTGCTGTAAAAATAAGTATGTTGTACTGAACAATGTATGAAATGCACGCACGCGCGTGTACCTACACGCATGTGTATGTGTGATGTACACGTGAAGGAGTATTGTGATCACACACGCCCCCAGAACATACACAAAATAAACGTGTTCTTTTTCCCTTCATCTCAATAAGGTCAGGACTCATCTACATTTGTATATTGATTTTATACCAAAATATTCGGAAAACAACGACATAGGGAGAAAAATTCGATAACTATATCATGTGTTAAAGGGCGGTTAATGGCCCTTCTGGGAATCTCAGCTAATCACTTCATCAGAAAACCAAAAACTTGTCGATTCTCCAAACCCCCCATTTCTAAACCACTAAATAGATTGTACATTACTATAGTGTATTAGCGGTCTGATCACCGGTGTTAGACAAGGAGACAAAGTATGAATATAAATGATTCTAATTGATTCTTTACCACCAAACGTCAATTATCAGGGGAGTCTCTGTAAAGAGTGTTGTCTTTTCATCAACCCCTGATAAAAATCTCGTGTGTTATCGCAAATGAAGTATAAATTTGTCTCTCGAGGTTTACTGCTAAGAAAAGCTACTTCATTATCGCGCCAGTAGTTCAGCCCTGCAACGGTTTCTACAGAGATAAACTTTCTCATCGAGTTCAACAAAACCAACCCTCTAGAGATAGGCCCTAGTGTATATCACATGGTGCAATGATGATACGGGCGTAGAAACCATATTCTTGTCGATGTTGTCAGAACGAATATGTGTATATCTCATTTTAAAGATACTTAAGTTTAATGTCATATCTCCCCACCCAGTAAGATATACTTCAACGAAACATCTGTCAAAATCTTGTATTCATTTAGACTTCTAAATCCAACTTGCTAATTTTACACTTTATTTCTTCATAAAAAAATCAGTAAAGTCATCAGAATCACTATTTATGAATGAAAAACGTCAAAAAAATTTTTTTTTGTTTTTTTCTTATTTTGCTAACTAAAAATGATTGTAATTTCCGAGATGATTTTGATATCAAGTGATGCCGCTTATTTCCCGTAATGAGAAAAATCCTTGATTCCATATCTAATCTCTATGAAGGAAAATTAGATGTATCATCGCTTTTGATCATCTCCGTCGTCTTATCGTCAGATCAGATGATTATTTCGTCTTTCTGGAGCAATTACCGAGGCTTCCCAGAAGTTCGATGAAATAGAATCAGTTTTGCCTATCAACACCAAACATACAAGTCGCACCTGCTTCGATATTGTATTTCCAGACTCTAACGATTGTTTTTATTTATCCTCAAGAACTGGCAAATAATGTCTTTTTCGATTCGTTTCTTGTGAAATCTAATTTAAGTTTTATCTGAATAAGTTTAGCAGAAAATGGAACGGAGTTTCTTAAATCTTCGGTGTCAAATTGATCTCATTTTATTTCAAATATGCCGCTCGTTCTACCGTTTATATCTCATGGGAATTTGACTCATTGTGACAATTTCCAAATCTAATTATTTGAAATTACCCGTGAGGATAACATATGTGATTTAGGCAAATTAAAAACATGAAGCCAAAGGCCATTTTGCGTGTGTCTAGAGAAATTTCATCATTGATGATACACAATTGAAATTGAATATTTTTTATTGGTGTTTTTGCGGGTTTGTAGGTAGTGCTGTGTTTTAGAGTACATCTATTTGTCGATAATAATATTGCTCCGAACTCTATGTAGTTGACTCGTGTTAACACCAGGAAAACAGCTGTCTAGCTAGCACAGTTAGGGATATTAGCCGATAAATGCCCGGGGGATAGAGATACACACCAGATTTATAGCCGAAGGGTAATACAATACACACGTGTGTGGATACACCAAATTCACACCAATACACTTATTTCCACCTGTTTAGTGTATATAAGAAGCGTGTGGAAATCGTTATCCGATGTCCGTGATAAATATACAATATTGCAGGGTTAGTATATAATGTATTAGTTTGTAAATTATTGCACATGTTTACCCCCCCCCCCCCCCCCACAAAAAAAATATGTAAATGAATAGCAAAATAACAAATGCCCTTCATTCGTTATTGGAAACAATGAAGTATATATATTTAAATGCACACCCTTTTCTTACAATCTTTTATTTAGAAATTAATGTGTTGTACATTGGTATGATATTGTATTTACTTCCTCGTGCAGGCAAGAATCATGCAAAAAATCCAACAGACCTATGAAATTTGTATAAGTTGGCTCATTTCCAACAATGAGTATTTAAAACCGGAAGTATAGCACATGACGTCACGAATCTGAGCAATTAAGTCCGATATTAGATCCAATGTTTTGTTTCCTTCATATAAAAATCTTTCATTGTCGTTCCTTGTTAAACGATAGCTTGACGATATCTCGCAGTTCGTTGATAAGGTCGCGAACTTTGAAGTTACTACTTACTTTAAACAAATCGTAAATAACTCACTTGTAGCTCTCTTGACGCCCGTGAAACATCGCGCGTTCTTAGGCTCTCAAGTACTAGAGCGATCTCCAAACGTTCGTTTTATAATTTGTCTCTTGTTCTCAAGAATGTAGAAAGACATGAAATTATACGATCTGTTAAACGTGCCTTACTCTATTACAAGTGCAGACGTATAGAGGGGATGCATTGTTCGTTTTAAACGTATCAACACAATATCTTGTATGTTATCACAGTAGATCAGTGGACCGAGAAATGTTTGACCTGATCCGGTCATTTAAAGTTAGAATTTAAAAAAGGTCTAAAATGTATAAAGTATAAACAAACATACAGTTTGTTGTAGTGATCGAATTTTTAAATGTTAATTTGCTGAAGACAACAACAACGAGAAAATATCATTAACAAACAACAACAACAACAAATGACTTAAAAAAGTGGTAGAGAAATACGACATAGTAAAAA